CATCAGCATCATCATCATCGTCGTCATCATCGTCATCAAAATCAGCAGCATCAGCATCATCATCAGCATCATCATCATCGTTATCATCATCATCATCACCATCACCATCAGCATCATCATGATCAGTTTCAGCATCAGCATCAGCATCATCATCATCACCATCACCACCACCACCACCATCATCAGCATCAGCATCAGCATCAGCATCATCATCATCATCATCATCATCATCATCACTCAACTTCAACAACAGCATCATCCTCAGATCATCATCATCACCATCACCATCACCATCATCAGCATCATCATCGTCGTCGCCGACGTCATCATCATTATCAGCAGCATCGGCGTCATCATCACTGCCATCATCATCAACATCATCAGCATCAGCATCAGCAGCAGCAACATCCTTACCACCACCACCACCACCAACAAAATCATCAGCATCACCATCATCATCAGAATCAGCATCGTCATCGTCATCGTCATCCTCATCATCATCATCATCATCAGCAGCATCAGCATCAGCATCGTCATCATCAACACCATCATCAGCATCATCAGCCTCATCAGCAGCAGCATCGCCAGCAACATCATCATCAGCAGCATCGTCCTCATCCTCATCAACATCATCATCATCATCATCACCACCACAAATACCAACATAAGCATCCTCATCAACATCATCATCGTCATCATCATCCGCATCATCAGCATCGTCGCACCACCACCACCATCACCACCATCACCACCATCATCATCAGAATCAGCATCATCATCATCACCATCACTATCATCCTCATCCTCGTCCTCATCCTCGTCCTCATCCTCCCCATCATCATCAGCATCAGCATCATCATCAGCATCAGCATCAGCATCATCATCACCAGCAGCATCATCATCATCGGTGGCCCATTGGGTTCAGGTCAGTTCTGCTGTGGATGCCAGGCCCTCCCGCGCGGAGTAGGCAAGCAAGACGAAGAACGCCAACGACGACGATTCGGGAGAGGACGGGAGGAAAAAGGAAATGACCCTGCCGGGGTCCCTGTTGACAAGGGAAGGGCTCGTCCCGTCGGGCAGGAGGAGGAGGAGAAGCCAGGCGCACTCCTTATCGATGAGGTACAGCTTCGACTGGTCGGGGAGGTAGCCGAGCATGTACATCGTCCTGTCCAGGTGCGCGATCGTCTCCTCGGGGGGCCGGGCGAACGGCCGTAAAAGCAGGCCCGTGGAGGGGTGTCGTCATCGTCGTCTTCGTCGTCGTCGTCTTCGTCTTCGTCGTCGTCGTAAGGTTCCGCCCGCTCGTTTGCTTAAACTCCTGCCCCTCTTGGAGCCCTTCCCAGCCAGCCCGCACGTCAGAGGTGGCCTCCCTGCGCAGGCCGCAAAGGGATGGAGAAGAGGTCTGGTGCTGTCGGGCGGCCCGGGGAGGGAAGGGGGGGGGGGCTGCCGAGCCTCTCTGGGGGCCCGCGGGAGGCCTCCGAAACTGACAGGGGGGAAGAGGAGCAGAGGGAGTAGGAGCAAGTGACGGGCGAGAGAAAGAAGGAGCGAAACTAATAGTGAGCAGGGGGGACGAGGAGGAGCGAAAATGAAGAATGAGAGGGGGGGAAGGATAATGAAAAGATCGACGAGGAAGCCACTTTCCGTGAACTCATGGTTACAATAACTCCTCCACCCTCATCCCCATCCTCATCATCGTCCTTCCTCTTCTCCTTCTCCTCCTCCTCCTCCTCCTCCTCCTCCTCCTCTTCCTCCTCCTGCTCCTCCTCCTCCTCTTCCTCCTTCATCCTCCCTCCCTGCCTTTTCCTTCGCCTTCCTTCCTCCCTTCCTTCCTCTTCCTCCTCCTCCTCTCTCCCCCTTCCTCTCCTCCTCCTCCTCCTCCTCCTCTCCTCCTCTTGCCCCCCTCCTCCCTCCTCATCTCCTCATCATCGTCCATCCCTCCTCCATCTCCTCCTCCTCGCCTCCTCCTCTCGTCCTCCTCAGCTCTTGCCCCTCCCTCCTCCTCCTCTCCTCCTCCTCACCTCCTCCTCCTCCTCCTCCTGCCTCCTCCTCCCTCCTCTTGCCCTCCTACTCCTTCCTTCATTCATCCATCCGCCTCCTCCTCCTCCTGCCTCCTCCTCCTCCTCCTTCCTCCTCCTCCTCCTCTTCCCTCTCCTCCTCCTCTTCCTCCTCCTCCTCCTCCTCTTAGCCGTTTTGGCTCAGGCGATTGTGCTTGAGCTTGCAACAGCATACCTCTTCGAAACGGCCAAGTGCTGCTGCGGGCCGTCGGCTCGTTGCTTTCCAATGTTGTGAGCTCCTGGCGGAGCGTAGATGTTTCAGCGCTCCCAAGGGAGCAGCGATTGATGACGTCGTGCAGGGACCCCGAATGCTTGTTGGGTTGCCAGTCGTGTAGGCTCACGTGTAACTGGCCTTGTCGGCTGCGGTGCCGCTGCGGAGCGAAGGCCCCGAAGCACGTGCTGGATAGGGCGAAGACGTTCACTGGCTCGAAAAAGCGTAGTGGTCCTCATCCTGGCACTTCTAAGTTCCTGGGTGCGCGTAAGGATGACAAGCTCGAGAAGCAGCTGGCAGAGTTCCAGGAGCGTCTCGACCAGCTTGTGCAGAAGCAGCGCCCACCACCCAAGGTTAACGGCGACGGCCACGGAGGCGGTGGGGGCGGTGGCGGCGGAGGTACATCCCAGACCGAGAAAGCCGCAGAAGCTGATGAAGATCCTTTGGCGGCACGGGCGTCGGAGCTCGAGGTGGCCACCAATGCATGCGGCAAGGACCACATTCCACCGAAGACATGTTGATTGCACAGCTGCGTGACATCCGCGCCAAGCTGGAGACCAAGAAGTCAGACATCCACCAATGTTGGACATCGGCTGGCGAAGGCGGAGAAGAATCTCGGCAAGCTGGTCGAGGAAGCACGGGTGCAGAATCGGGTCATTCAAGCGGCAACGGCTGAGCGAGACGAGCTCGAAGGCAAACGTCGCGCGGCTGAAGCCGAGGTGGCGGCACTCAACAAGCAGTTGGTGGAATCCCAACCCAAAGGTGCTACCGTTCAGCCTCCTGGCGTGGTTCCTGCTGCACTGAAGCCCCAACAGAGCTGACCGAAGGCAAGGACGACATCAAGGCGATGCTCGGAGATCATCGCACAGACCTTGGCTCAGCAGTCAAGCAGTAGCAGTGGCGGAATCGATGCTCCTGTTCCTGGTGGCAAAGACGTGGGCACGCCCAGCGCAGCGAAGAAGCGGAGACGTTCTGGGAACAATATAGTGGAGACAAGAGGGCTATCTTTGAGGCTCTGGCGTCTGGCATCTTCAAGCGCGTCAAAACTTCTTCCTGACGTTGAAGACGATATCGTACTACCAGTACTGAGGGCCTTCCGTGAGGAGGCCAAGGTGAGCTGGGGTCCTGGCCAGGTTACGCATTCTGCCTCTGGGTGCCAAGGCCCCAGGAAACCTTCTGGTTTGGTCTCTGGCGAGGCCAATCGCGGCACCGTTTGGATCCCCTCCTCCCCACGCGGCCTGCTATGCGGCTCGAAAAGCGTTGGTCGGGATCGCCGGGAGGGCGAGTGCCGATACCGCCCAGGGGAGTCGAAGCGTGAGCTCAGATAGCCTCGGAGGTCCGGGTATCGGAAGCCCCACGAACAAGAAGCAGACAAAGTCGTGCTTGGCTCTACGTTCTGTTTCTAGGATCTCTCAGTCAGGCTAAAGCTGCCCCCCGCCGCCAGTGCGTTTCAAGGCCGAGGGTTTTCCCAGGCATGTTTTGGAAAGCTATAATGGTAACTCAGGAAAAACGGCTTGCCCGAATTGATGCGTTGGTCGCTTTGCAGGGGTGACCGAGGAAATGCAGAAGGAAAAGACAGCCAAGGCGCTCGAACTTGGTTCGCACATGCTGTGCTCGCCGTCAGTAACCTGTTTGGGAGGTCAAACGTCAAACATCGGCGGGGGTGGCCATCTTCGCACGCACGACAGCACGTTTAAGATGGCGCAGATTTCTAGCGAGTGGCGAAGTCGTTAAGTATCGGCTCATAATAGTCGAGATTGATTTACCAGTGGTCGAAGCCAGTTGTGGCAGCGCGCGCGCATCTGTACCACACGGAGTGCTTATCTAGACGTAACCTGGAAATCCTGAAGAAGGCGGGAGAAATGTTGAAGGGGGGACACCTAGCTGTCATGGGGGCCGATTGGAATGCGCCGTCGTCTTGCCTGGACACGTCGGGACTATGGGACTACCTCGTAAACCGGGGCGATCACCGCCCAGCCCTCGTCGGAGACATGCGCCACGGCAGCGGCGAACTCCTATATCGATGACTTTGCGCTGTCAACCAGCGGTGGCGAAATTGGTTGACCAAACCAACGCGGCCACGACCTGGCCGCGCCGCCCGCACAAGCCGGTTCAGCTGAAGTTAAAGGCAGGTGTTAGAGGGACCAAGCAACTCGTGTACTAGTCCCATCAGAGGCTCCCCAAGAAACTCCCCGATGGGCCCTCGAGACAGCCCCCCGATTGGGACGTCGTGCGCACCATTGCGGAGGCAGCCAACAGGTCTGCCAGTTTTGATTCGGCCCACTGTGCCCGGGAGCTTCTTCTCTCGGCGGCGTGGACGATTTGTTTCGGACGTCATAGAGGTGGAGCTCGAAGGTGAGCTGGACACCCCGATTGAAAAGAAAGGCCTCAAGGGGCCCCCTCCCTCCGCCAAGTGGGTGTCGGTTTTCACCCGACCGAGGCGTGAGCCCGAGGATGTGGAGGTGGTTTGGGATGGTTGGATTTGGCTCCAGCAGAACCTTCGAGATCCACAACACACTTGTGTTGGGGTTCACGAGAACAGCGAGCTGACAACTCACCAGGACATTCAGGCGGTTCGCAACAGCTGCGGCAGCCTCCAGCAACCGCTTAACGGCGAGTGCCTCTCGGTGCGACTCGACGCCACCGTGCAAACCACCAAGCAGCTCATAGCGTTCTTCCCTCAACATGGGAATATGCCTGGCTGGCTCCGTCGACTTACTCAGGCGCTTGATGATTGGCATGATGATTTTGATGCGGTTCGCTCGGGATTGGACAATCCTACTAGGTGAGCTGGGACCAGTGGCTAGAGAAGGCTTTGTAGGCATCTGCGCGAAAAATGTACAAGTTGTCGCGCCCCAAGCCCAAATGGTTGCCTACGGTCATCGAAACGGCTCCCGGCGCTTTCTCGGCCGACCCGCGTAAGCTGCTTGCGAATGAAGCCAACGTGTCAGGTTCTTACTGGAAGGCGTCGCCGGGCCCTGAGCCGCTGGAGGCGTTGGATCGGGAGCGTTTTGAGCGCACGAGGCCCGAAGATATCCGTGCTGCGCGTCGAACGTTCAGCCCGCACACGGCCCAGAGCTTGGACAGAGTCCATGGTCGACACGATGGCATGCTACGCGGCGCTGGCCTCGAGGCCCTCGCTTGCATTTTCCAGGCGGTGGAAAAGAGTGGCGTTTTCCCGAAAGCGGTGTACTGGATGCTTTTCCCCCTCCTGGAAAAACCGAAAGGTGGACTCAGGCCTGTGCTCCTGCGCGCGGCCCCTTGCGAGGCTGTGCGAGAAAATCCGACGGTCGACCCTCCTCAGGCTTGATGAACAACACCCACGCAGGTACTGGGCTTTTGGGGCTGGCAAGCCGGCGGAGAGCAGCATCTGGAACCAGGTGGCTGAGGCGGAAGCCAAAGTGGCCGATGGCGGGGGCCACGGGGGGGTTCCTGGGACGGATCCAAATACTACGAGTTCCCGACTTCCCACCCTCAGGGACCGTTCTCTCGCAACGGGGCTCCCAGCCCACGGTCGTCAAGGTCAGTCTCAACTTTTGGCGAGGACCGAGAATACTGAGGCTTGGCACGGACCACAGCCTGGCGCCATCCCGCGCCGAGCGTGGTTTGCCGGCTGGGTCGCGCTTCAATGACATCTGCGTGAAAGCGTATGCGCTCGAGCCCTTGGATAGGTTCGCCGAGCGCCGCCGTGATGTGGATCTGGCCTCCTGCATCGACGACGACACGGTCGGCGCGCATGGGAGGCCAGAACACGTCGTGGAGGTACTCGGCAAAGCCGCTGCGGACCTTCACCGTGCTTCTCTGGACGAGCCGGTTCGTCGGGTTGGCTGCCGACAAGCTGTTGGCCTTTGCTTCCACACACTCCCTGTCGCTGCGTGTTGGACGCAAGCTCGGACTCTCCGGCGGGGAAGGTCGGCGCCCACGTT